AATCAAAAGGCTGGCAATTCAAACCCGCCAGCAGCTCCTTGGAAGGAAGATGAGGCAATCTAGTTCTTAATTGATACTGCCTTGGAAACCCAAGGAGGGGTCGCTATAAGTCTAGTCCGACTTGACAGCATATAGCAACAACAACACAATATGTAATATTTTAGTGTAGTAATATATGGTTATAATGAGCTCAGGTAGCATAGTGACTAAGGCATCTGACTGCTAACCAGAAAGCTAATGGTTCAAACCCACCAGCCACTCCACAGAATCAAGACTGGGCAATTTACTTCTGTGAAGATTTACTGCTTTGGAGACTCAATGGGGGTCACTATGGGTCAGGATCAACTCAATGGCAGTGGATTTGGTTTGGTTTTTTAATATATGGTTATAATTTTCAGGTAAATGAATATAACTGGTCGTGTAGCATCTGTCATTGTTGTTGTTGTTGTTATGTGCCATCGAGTAGGACCTGACTTACAGCGACCCCTCCTTGGGTTTCTGAGGTGGTATCACTATGGAAGTAGATTGCCCAGTCTTCCTTCCAAGGAGTGGCTGGTGGGTTTGAACCAACAGCATCTGTCATTACAGGAGTGCAACGAAAAAAAAAAAAAAAAATTGAGACCGTATTTCTAAAAGTAAAGGCGCTATGTTGTAGAATATAGGTATTCTTCATTCTCTAATCCTGTTTAGTTTCTTCATAATGATCATAACAAAAACCAAATTTACTGCCATCGAGTCGGATCTAACTCATAGCAACCCCCCCTTGGGTTTCCGAGGCGGTTTCACTATGGAAGTAGATTGCCCAACCTTCCTTCTGAGAAGTGGCTGGTGGATTTGAACCGCCAGCCTTCTGGTTAGCAGTCAGATGCATTAGACACTAAGCAATCCCACCTCCCAATACTTTAAATTTCATACTAAGTTAAAAACTGAAAATATGCTAAACCAGAATGGTTTTTCTTTCTCAGACAAAAAAAAATATATAGCTCTTAGAAAACTGGTTTTTTTGGAATTTTCTTCAAAGTACACACAGATAATTGCAGGTAGAATAAAAGCACTGCTCTCTTAATTGTTATGAAACTAACAATGCATTTAGATGTACAACTATTACTGAACACAATCTATGAGCAATATACTCTGAAGAAAAAAGACAAAATATATCTTTCCTTCAGGTATAAAAAATGTGTTTATGTAAATTATAGAGAAGAAAGGTTCATCATTTCCGCATTTCTTTTTTTTTTTTTTGTATTCATATTGAGGGTCACATTATATTAATTTAAATTCAGAATCACTGGGTAAAGAAGGGTCATTGTGATTTGCAAATAGTCTCAATTAAGAACTGTCAAATAAAAAGGTAAAACTATGATACTAACTATGACACAAAATCAAATATTAACATACTTGAATGTAAACAGATGCCCCTAAAGTGCCTGAAGTGTCTTATCCTATTGAGAAAAATTAATTTAATCCACCACAATCACATGCATATAGAAACATGTTCATTGTAAATGAAAAAAAAGGCATAGTACCACTATCTAGTGAGCATGCACTGTGGACCAAGCACTACTGTAAATATTTTACCTTTTATAACACTTAATTCTGACAACAACCTATTAGTCATATACCCTTATTCCCCCAACTGACAAATAGAAAAACTGAGTCAAAGAAGGCTTAATGAACTTGCTCAAGATCACACTACTAGGAATTATAAGAAATAGAATTTGGTATCAGTTTGACCTTAGAGTTTCACTGTCCTATTTATGAGGAATTTTAAAGTGGTAGATATGCGGTATAAAAATTGTATTTTTAGAATACAGTTTTCATGCGGGAATGCAGAGATGAAATCCATGGTATATATATGGTCACAACAAAAGGGATACTTGCAGTCAATGCACATTTGCATGCTTATGAGCATCTCAAGGAGCCCTAGGGGAACAATAGCTAAGCATTCAGCTGCCAACTGAAAGGTCAGTGGTTTGAATCCAGCAGCAGCTTCACAGGAGAAAAGACCTGGCAATTTACCTCTGTAGAGATTATCACCTAGTAAATACTATAGGTCAGTTCTACTACGGCCTAACAGGTCAACTGAGTGAGAATACACTTAATGGCACAAATCAGCAACAATATTAAGATCTAAAGGGCATAACTACATAGAGTGAGAGTTGATGCCTGGCTTGGCTTTCCTTACTTACTCCCACAATGCTATGATGTAATTTCCATTTCTGTTTCACGTTACAGGAAATTTTCTGATCTGATTCAGGAAACGAAGTCATGGACCAAGGAAATAACTCAAGAGTGAGTGAATTTGTGTTGCACAGTCTTCCAGGTCCTCGAGAACTACAACTTTTCTATTTTGCATTTTTCACACTTTTCTATTTGTCCATTTTGCTGGGAAACTTCCTCATTGTGCTCACAGTCCTCTCTGAACCTACGCTCCACACCCCCATGTACTTCCTGCTCAGCAACCTCTCCTTCATTGATGTTTGTCTGTCCACTTTTGCCACTCCCAAAATGATTGCTGACTTCCTCATGGAGCATAAAACTATCTCTTTTGAGGGCTGCATGACCCAGATATTCTTTCAGCATGTCTTTGGTGGTGGTGAAATGATGCTCCTTGCGGCCATGGCATATGACAGGTATGTAGCCATATGTCGACCCTTGCACTATGCAGCTATCATGAGTATACGCAAATGTGCAGGACTTGTGGTGGGCTCCTGGCTCATTGGGATTCTGCACTCTATAAGCCAATTAGTCTTCATAGTAAAGCTTCCATTCTGTGGTCCAAATAATGTGGACAACTTTTTCTGTGACCTTCCTTTGGTTATTAAACTTGCCTGCACTGATACCTATGTTCTTGAGATACTGATGCTTGCATATACTGATGTAATGAGTATTAGCTCCTTTGTGCTCTTGCTCATCTCCTACACGGTCATCGTGGTCACTGTGCAACGTCGATCCTCAACGGACATGGCCAAGGCCCGAGCTACCCTGACTGCCCATGTCACTGTAGTGACCCTCTTCTTTGGTCCCTGCATCTTCCTCTATATCTGGCCTTTCAACAACTACCCGGTGGATAAGTTTCTCTCAATATTCTATACTGTTTTTACCCCTCTCTTAAACCCCTTGATCTACACATTGAGGAATAAGGAGGTAATATCAGCAATGCAGAAACTGAGGAGGCGAAAAGTTAGTGCCTAGCACTTTCTTGGCTTTCTTTTATGATAAGGACAACTGTTGAGTGAGCTCTGACTCATAGCAACCCTATGTACAACAGAACAAAACACTGCCCAGTCCTACACCAGCCTCGCAATCTTTCCTATACCTGAGCCCATTGTTTCAGCCACTATGTCAAGGCGTCTCATTGAGAGCCTTCCCCTTCCTCACTGACATTATGATTTACCAACCATGATATCCTTCTCCAGGGAATGGTCCCTTCTGACATCTTGAACAAAGTAAGTGATGAAATCTGGCCATTCTCATTTCCAAAGAGTATTCTAGCTGCACTTCTTCCAGGACAGACTTGTTTGTTCTTCTGGCAGTCCATGGTCCTTTCAATATTCTTCACCAACACCACAACTCAACAGCATCAACTCTTCTTTAGTCTTCCTTATTAATTGTCCAGTCTTCAAAGTCTTATGAGATGAATGAAAATACCATGGCTTGGGTTAGGCACACCTTAGTCTTCAAAGGGACATCTTTGCTCTTCAGCACTTCAAAGAGGTCTTTTGCAACAGATGAACCTGGTGCAATATGATGTCTGATTTCTTGACTGCTGTTTCCACTAGTGTTGATTGTGGAAATAAATTATATGGAATCTTTGAGAACTTCAATCTTTTCTCCATTTATCGTGAGCTTTTTATTGGTCCAGTTGTGAGAATTTTTGTTTTCTTTATATTGAGTTGCAATCCACACTGCAGACTATATTCTTTAATATTCTTCAGTAAGTACACTGAGTCATCTTTACTTTCAGCAAGCAAGGTTGTGTTGTCTGCATATTGCTGGTTGTCAATTAGACTTCCTCCAATCTTGATGCTTTGTTCTTCTTCATATGGTCCAGCTTCTCAGGTTATTTGCTCAGCATACAGATTAAATAAGTATGGTGAAAGAACTCAACCCTGACACACTTCCTTCTTGATTTTAAACCATGCAGTGTCCCCTTGTTCTGTTTGAATGGCTGCCTCCTGGTCTATGTACAGGTTTCTCATGAGTACAATTAAGTGTTCTGGAATTCCCATTGTTATCAATGTTAACCATAGTTTGTTATGACCCACACAGTTTAATGCTTTTGCATAGTCAATAAAACACAAGTAAACATCCTTCTGGTATTTTTACTTTTAGACAACATCCATATAACATTGGCAATGATATTCCTCATTTCACATCCTCTTCTGAATCCAGCTCACATTTCTGTAAGTTCCTTGTCAATATACTGCCGCAACCATTTTTGAATTATTTTCAGTGAAAGTTTACTTTCATGTGATATTAACGATATTGTTCGATAATTTCCACCTTCTGTTGGATCATCTTTCTTTGGAATGGATACAAATATGGATCTCTTCCACTCAGTTAGCTAGGTATCTGTTTTCCAAAGTTCTTGCCATAGATAAGTAAGTGCCTCCAGCATCAGTTTGTTGAAACATCTCATGGGGTATGGGGCTTTGTTCTTGGACAGTTCCTTCAATGCAGCTTTGACTTCTTCTTTCAATACCATTGATTATTGATCATATGCCACCTCCTGAAATAGATGAACATTGACCAATTCTTTTTAGTAAATGACGCTGTGTAATCCTTCCACCTTCCTTGATGTTTCCTCCATTATTCAATATTTTTCCCATAAAATCTTGAAATATTGCAATTCAAAGCTTGAGTTTTTCTTCAGCTCTTTTGGCTTGAGAACCACCAAGCAACTGATACCACTCATCTGTTTGTCACACTGTGGTGGCTTGCATGTTTCTGTGATGCTGGAGGCTATGCCACTGGTATTTCAAATACCAGCAGGGTCACCAATGGTGGACAGGTTTCAGTGGAGCTTCCAATCAAGACAGACTCAGAAGAAGGAAGAGGCCATCCACTTCTTGAAGAATGGGCCAGTGAAAACCTTACAGATAGCAGTGAAACACTGTCTAATACATTACTGGAAAATGACAACCATTATAAAATTAAAACCCAAGCTCATTGCTTTCAAGTTGATTCTGATCCACAGTGACCCCCACTGGGTTTCCAAGGCTGCAAAATCCTTATGGAAATAGATTCCCTCATCATCTTCCAATGGAACAGCACATGGGTTTGAATTGCCAACCTTCTGGTTAGCAGCCAAATGCCTTATCCGCTATGTCACCAGAGCTCCTAACCATAATAAAGACACCCACTTCCATCCTTCCCTATTCAAACTACATTTCAACTAAGAAATTAAATAGGTTGAGATAATGTCTTGTATATATGTATAGTAATGATATTTCTTATGATGTGAACTCTCACTACAAACTATCCAAACTTACAGACTAAATAGTAATAATAGCTTTGGTGATCCCATTAACTGAACTCAGAAGCTAGGTATTTTCATATACTTAACCATGTAAATATAGTATATTTAACCATGTTAGAAATAGCAAAACCTGGGCCCACATTTTATGGGTTTTTTTTTTTTTTTTGTCTAAGCATATTAACTTCAAGTTCAGATTTGCCACTCACAGTTAGTAGATCAAGGAATACACAATAAAATGCATATCTTTCTACATACAAAGAGAAGTTTTTTTCAACAATGCCACTAAATACATGCCCCAGTTCTAGTATTCTTTTATTACTCCTCAGGTCCTGCCATCTAATCTGTACCACCTATGATAGTTAAGATTGTGTGTCAACTTTTCTGGGCCATGATTTTCAGTGGTTTATTGGTTATGATCCTCCATGATGTGATCTCATATAATGTAATTACTTCCATGATAGTGTCTGCTATGAGCGGCCAATCAATTGAAAGGGAATTTCCTTAGGGGTGTGGCCTGTTTCCAATATATATGGATGTTCTGGAAAAGCTCTCTGGCTTTTTGCTCAATGTGAATCCTCATAATAATCTGACCTCCAGTTATTTGGACACGAGCCAGCAGCCTGCCATATCGCCAGCGATCTTGGGATTCATTAGCCTACAGAACCTGTTATCCACCAGCTGATCATATTTCCTGTCAATCATAAGTTTGTCAGCCCCTGATGCTACTTGAGACAGGAGAAGCCACCAGTTTGGCATCTGACTCATGACCTGAAACTTTCTAACTTTTCCAATCTCATGAGCCATTTCTGTAGAATAAAACTCTTTCTGCCTATCTATACACCTCCATCTATCTATCTATCTATCTATCTATCCATCATCTACATGTACAAATTACACTGCTTTTGCTTCTAAAGAGAACTCAGCCTAAAACATTACTCAATAAAATATAAGTGAGAGTACATATTTTGCAAAACTCTAAAAATATAAGATCATTGTTTTGATGTTTTATAAAAAGTTTACATTTCCATTGTCCTTTGTAAATTGCCATTATGTATGAAACATTATAAGATGTTTTATTTTTATATCATTTGTTGTTATAACCAAAACAAACCACCTTAGATAACAGAAAAATAGGATTCCCATCTTTTACTTATAAAGTAAGTCCTATTTGATTCAGACTAAAATCATCCTTAATAAAAATTTAAAAAATTCTCCTATCAAACAAATGCATCCAATTCATGATTCTTGCACTCAATATATATGAAAATATACAAAATATTAAGTTAATGAAATATATTTAAATACTGTTTTTAAAGTTTCAGAATGGTATTTAAGATACAATTTTTTAGGAGTAATCATTTTAACTGGTATCACATTTTAATTTGGAACAATCATTTTGATCTGACTTCTACTTTTTGAAAGAGAAAGATATACCTCCAAGTGAAGTTTTGTTTTTGAAATGCTGTGGAATAGAATTTAATATCAATTTTACTTTTAAAAAGGTTGAACTCACTTTTCTCCTTTATAATTACACTAGTCTACAAGACCCTGTTGATACTTTTCTAATATAGAATTAAAAAAAAAAAAAACTAACTAATTTAACACTGAATGATATGATGATTATGAAAATAAAATCAAACTTGTATTTAATGATCACAATATAGTTTACAGGTGACATAGTGCCTAAAGCAATTGACTGCCAACCAGAAGACTGCAGGTTCAAAGCCACCAGTCACTCCTTGGAAGGAAGATTGGACAATCTACTTCTGTAAAGATTTACCTCTAAATTTGAGTACACGATCAAACTCACATGACACATAAGGAGTCTATCTACAATGAACAAGAGTTAACAGATAGAATAAATGGTAGACTAACTTGTTCTTCCCCCCTTGGGCAAGTAATTAATCTATTGTATATATATTAAGTGAGTATATCTAAAATAAGGAGCTCTAGTGGCAGAGTACTTAAGGCATTTGACTGCTTATCAGAAGATTGGTTTCAAACTCACCATATAGTCTGCAGAAGGAAGAGGAGCAATCTTCTTCTATAAAGATTTACTGCCTAAGAAACCCAATGAGAGTTTCTACAAGTTGGAATCGACTGGATGGCAGTGAGTTCAGTTTGGTTTGGTATATAGTTTACAAATTCTATCTTTATATAATTATCTCACGTGATCCTCACAACATACCTTTGGGTTAGTAGGAGATTATGCTTCTATACTGACAGTGTTGAAATTTGGGTAATTATAGATCCTTCCAGTAAAAATACCTATGAATTCTAGAAGCATTCTTTGAAACAAACAATTCTCTCATGACATCTGAAAGAGTAGAAACTTTGGGAGTAGAAGGATGATGGAAAGGGATTGTAAGTAATCAAAATGATAGAAGATTTTGAAAGGGAAATTTTGTCCCTGCAAGAGTATAAAATAGAATTTGATCCCTTGGACCACAGACACTTATAGCCTATTTCTTCAGTGAAGGTGTAGTTTAGAAGAGCAGCACATGGTAAAGATCAAATATGTATTCTTGTTGGCCTGGTTTATGGGTAGGAAAACTGTTACAGCTTGAAATCGAATTCATGAGATTTCCTATGCATGAATTCAGATTTTTGAATTCATGTTCTCTGCATGATCAGAAGAGCTCTAACCTGAAAAATTCAATGTAAAATAAAGTTCACTCAGGAGGTCAGTGGAATTCGTGGGGCATTTAGAAAAATAAAGACAAAAGCCTCTCCATTGGCCATACAAACTTTTGACATGTGAAGTTCTTCTCAATTTGAGTGCACAATAAAATCCTCAAAAAACAGGGACAGCCTGTCTACAATGAATAAGAACTAGCAGACAGAATATATGGTAGATTAACCGCACTTTCAGCACTTGAGTTAGTGAAAAGGTATTGCGTAAAGATTATGAAGTAAGTATATTTAAAATGGTTAACTATTCGAAGTTAATAAAAAGAGATGATGTTATCATAAGGAAAAGAAAAGAAGAAGAACAAGTTAATTATGCTTCTGGGAAGATGATTTTTCTCCTTCTACTGTATTGTTTCTGCTATGCACCATTGATATCATGGGTTTTTTCTACAAGACAAAAAAGAATCTAAGACTTGGAGTAAAAATGACAGACTAGCTA